TGTGGACGAAATTTCATTTATCAATGCCTGTTCCTCATGCCTAAATTTTGATTGTTTGTTTTGAGTTATTTATAAATCCAATTATAGGGATGAATTTATGGGGTTCCAATTAAAATGGCATTCTTTTCTCCTGGAATCTGTGTGTTTGGTCAGGACAGGAGGACGCCCTGACTGATATTCAGAATATAATTATTTGCTTTCCTTTTGGTGTTTATGGGCAGTCCTTGCAGGTAATTTTCTCCACGCAATCTTTTCCACTATTTGCATCCGAACTTCTCCTTCCCCTGCTTGTTGTAGTTTTAACCTGAAGATCAGAATTCATTTTGTAGTTTTGTAAAACCCACATGGGGAGGATGGTGGTCAGCTCAATGCTAAACTTAGTGAGCAGATTCTTTAGAATATCATGACCTTATGGTAGGCAGCAGGCCATCCTGGATTGTTCAGTCTCAGAGGCCACAGGGGCTGGGGCTCAAGGTAACTTTGAGTAGCCCACAAAATGTTTTCAATGTGAACTTCTATTATAATTACTAAGAAAGAATATCAACTAATATTAATGAATCCAGCCTTTATTGCTACTCTTTAGACGCCTATGCAGTTATAAAATAGCAATTTCTAATGTTTGGCCCATGTAGATAGCTCAGGCCTATATACCTGGCACTTTGGAGGCCAAGGTGGGAGGATGGATTGAGCTTAGGAGTTCGAGACCCAGCCTGAAGCAACGTGAAGACCCCATCTCTACTAAAAACAGAAAAAATGTAGCTGGCATGTGGCGCATGCCTATATCCCCAGCTTACTCAGGAGCTGAGGCAGAAGATCACGTTAAGCCCATGAGTTTGACTTGCTGTGAGCTAGGCTTGACGCCTCCGGCACCTAGCCTGGGCAACATAGGAGATTCGTTCTCATTTTTTTTGTTTATAATGGAAGGGTCCCTGACAGGCATCAAAGTGCCTAGAGCCTATTGAAATTCATAACGTGCTATTAACCACATGCCTGACAAAAATCTAGGCATATGACAAAAATAAGTAGGCACAATAAAAGTATAAAGAACATAATTCATTTTTATATTTATTTTCACCATTAGATGGGCAGCCTTTGTATTGGTGTTTTTCCATGAAAATTATTTTTGCCTTTCGAAAAGACAAATGTTTTTTAAAAAGCATTGATAAAATCACACCCTTTCATGATAAGAACACTTAATAATAGGCATCAGAAGGGACCATACCTAAAAACAATAGCAGGCCGTATACAACAGACCATAGCCAACATCAATCACTGAAATGGGGAAAATTGAAGCATTCCCACTTAGATCTGGAAGCGCAGGCAAGGCTGCCCACTATCTCCACTTCTATTGAAACATAGTGGTGGAGTCCTGGCTACTAGCAAACATCAGCCATGAAGAGTGGAATTAATAGGTAATCCAATTGGGGCAGAAGAGATCAAACTTTCACTGTTAACTGATGATACGATATTATATTTAGAAAACCCCAAGGATTCAATGAAGAAACTCCTGGAATTGATAAATGAATTTATCTCAGGATATTTGTCTCAGGATACAAAATTAATACACAGAAATCAGAGGCCTTCATATACGCTAACAACAATCAAATTGAGAGAAGCAACATCAAAGACTCATGCACCTTCACAATGGCAACAAGAAAATGAAGTACCTAGGAATATACTCTACACGCAAGGAGGTAAAAAGCGTCTACAAGAGAACTTATGAAACACCTGAAGAATGGAAAATACGGGCCAGCAGGATGTAACAGATGGAAATCCATACATGCTTCGTGGGTTAGCAGACTCAACATGTTAAAAATGTCATATACTACCCAAAACTGATCTACAGATTCAATCGCAATACGTATTAAAATCCCAACATCATTCTTTCAGATATGACAAAAATAATTATGCTTTGTTGGAACCGAGAAGACCCCGCATATCAAAACAATCTAGGAATAAAAACAAATGGGAAGTATTAAGTGCCAGTATATCAACAGTATAACTACAAGCTATAGTAATTAATCAATCTGGTATGGGCACAGAAAATAGGAATATTGACCAGTGGAAAGCAGATCTGAGAACCCTGATATAAAACCCATCCTCCATATAGCCAACTAATCTTGACAAAGCGAACAAAAACATACACTGGGCAAAAGAATCCTTATTCATTACATGGTGCTGGGAAACTGGATACGGACTGACATTAGGTATGAAACTATTAGACTAGAGGAAAAACATTGGAAATAGTCTTCTAGATATTTGGCCTACGGCAAATAAATTTATAGAATAAGACCCCAAAGGCATCACAGCAGCACAAAAAATACAATAAATGGGACATGACCAACTAAAAAGCTTCTGCACAGCCCAACAGAATAGTCATGAATAAACAGTAAGCTTACAGAATGGAGAAAATTTTCTCCATCCTACACATCTGATAGGGCTGATAACCTAGAATCTACCTTTTAGTTAAATCAGGAAAACCAGCAGAAAAAATCAAACCACCCTATCAAGAAAGTGGGCCCAAAGGACACGCAACAGTAACTTTCTAAAGAAGACAGAATAATGGCTAACAAACATGATGAAAAAATGCTCAACATCTCTAATATAAGAAATGCAAATCAAAATACAATGATATCACTTATTCAGTAAGAATGGGCCTTATCAAAAAGTCACAAACAAGATGTTGCGGTGGATGCGGAAAGATGAACCCTCACACTGCTGGTGGGACTTGCAAACTAGTTCAACCTCATGGAAGCAATGTGGAGATACGCTTAGCGATACAAAGTGAGATCATAATATTGTATCCACAATCCCATTACTGACTCTACCCCAAAATATCCAAATGACACTCTACCAAAAAGACACTGCATTCGAATATTTAGGCAGCCAATTCATAATTGGCAAGCTGTGGGAAACAACCAGTGCACCATGCAATTCATGAGAGGATTAATAAAATGTGGTTGTATGTATACCATTGGAGTACTATTCAGCTCTGAAGAACACACATGAATACAGGACATCTGAATTTTCCTGGTTAAGATGAACCCCATATATAAGTGAATTTCCAAGAATGGAAAACAAAGCCGCTACATACTACTCAGCAGCAACTGGATTAACCTGAGCAGACCTAAGTAGACACATAGGAACTACATTAATTGGGTTTGCCAAGATGGAGGTGTGGAGGGGAGCGGGTTATATATAATATATACCATACAGTGAGATGTGCACCATCTGGGTGGTCATAACGTTGAAGCTCAGACTGTGGTCGGGAGGGGGGCAAGAAGCATGTATTTGAAACTTAAAATTTAGCGGACAAAAAAATAATATCACTGAAATTAAAAAAATGCACAGAGCTAACTACTTTTTGACTCAACTCTTTTGTTTATAATAACATTTTTTGTTGCATCAGTTATTAAGATATAGCAATAAACCTAGTGTTAACAAATTTGCAGCATTTGGTTCTTCATTGAAAACCCTTTTCCATTTAATAAAAGGTATTGTTATCTTACATAATATGGACATCAAGGCTAAGACACTGCTGCTTCTTTGCAACAGAGATGTTTTCTCCAAAGTGGCAATAGCCAGATTTAAAATTCTTAATCAGAAGAAGATTTTTCATGATTAGCTAAATTCAAAACAACATTAAGGTTATATTCAGCAGAGGTACTTCTCCAGGTGGTTGAAGGCTCTGAGTAGACTTTTTAGTCTCAAATAACTAATGTGAAATATAAAATATAAAATGAAATTAAATTGTTATTTATGAACTTTTATTGTGCCTATATTTTTGTCAATATGCCTAGATTTTTGTCAGGCCATGTGGTAATAGGGCCACGTTATGAATTTCATAGGCTCTAGGCACTTATGCCTGTCAGGGACCCTTCCTTTATAAAACAAAAAAAAATGAAAACGAATCTCTCTATGTTGCACAGGCTAGGGTGCCGAGGCGTCAGCCTAGCTCACAGCAAGCTCAAACTCCTGGGCTTAAGTGATCTTCCTGCCTCAGCCTCCTGAGTAGCTGGGA